TTAAGAGTCATGGTTCGGAAGGATTTGAATAGTCATCCTGGGAGCGGGTTGATAACGTTCATCAGATTTAAAGTTGAGGAGCCACAAGTAAATTCAAGATTCCCATTTTTATGGCAGGGAGCCTGAGGCTCACAGCAGGGCTCATACATGGGACCTGGGCTGCTGCTCAACCGATACAAACTGACCTCCCCTCAGTGGTTGTGCCTCAGTTTCCTCATTTGGAAGGTGGGTTTGTGGGAGGCAGGCAGTCATATTTGCCGTGGGCACTGTGGCAGTGAGGTACAAGAACAGGTCAGTGCCCAGGCACCTCTCACCTTCGTGACCGTACTCCTCTCTCAGGTGTTCAAATCTAGAACGCCACCCGAGGCCATCGCGCTCTGCTCTAGCCTGCTGGAGTACACACCATCCTCCAGGCTCTCCCCATTAGAGGCCTGTGCCCACAGCTTCTTTGATGAACTGCGATGTCTCGGAACCCAGCTTCCCAACAACCGCCCTCTTCCCCCGCTCTTCAATTTCAGTCCTGGTGGTAAGGGCTCAGCCTAGGGAGCTGGAGGGGTGGCCAGAGACTGGCAAAGGTGGTTGGGGGTTACTAAAGAGGCCTGGGGCTCAGGAAAGATGCCTCTCAGATGCAGGGGGGACCTAGCCTGCTTTGATAGCACTCTACTGCGATTAGCAGGCTGATTAGCCCTGTGTGAGACTTTCTGGTTTTTCATTTAAAGGGTTCTGTAGCTAAAAGCATTCAAACAATTAGCTTTACCTGTAGCTGGGTCCCCACTGGGTGTGCCATTGTAACCCTAATGGAGTCTCCAGATGTCTTGCCTCCGCCCTGATGGGTTGTGTCAATTCCTGTCTTTAGAACTCTCCATTCAACCATCTCTCAATGCCATTCTCATCCCTCCTCACTTGAGGTCCCCAGCGGGCACTACCACCCTCACCCCATCCTCACAAGGTAAGTTGGGGCCTATGGAATTAAGTGGCATTTCTCAGCCTTGGGGGAGCAAAGGAGTTTTCATATTCCCCCAGGTTCTTACTGGTGTTTAAAATTGCTGACACTTGCCGGCACAGAAAGCATATTTACAACCTATAAATGGCGACCACCTTTATAGGGCTTCTTGCCTATATTCGTCTTTAAATGCTTACGGGAAAACCAAAGGAATATGTTTGCGCTCACAAACCAAACCAACCAAAAGTTGAACCTGTTACTCATGTTAAAAAAAAATCAGGCTATTTTGTATGAAAAAATCCAGACTTCCTGTTTGCTTTGGAGAAGATGCTCAGACTTGGCAGCAGTGGGCCTGCCTTGCCTGACAGTAGTCTTAGGTGAGGCTGGGTTTGAAGACCCCCTTTATCTGGGGCCTTCTCTGTGGTGTGAGTCACTCAAATTACAAGCCTGGCCCTTTGGCATTTGAGTTTGCAACCCTGGACCTAAAGTCACAACTTTCCACTTTTCATGTAGCATCTTATACTGAATTCCTACTCTTGTGGGTGTTGAGGGGGCAACTGAAAGGCAAAGCTAACTAGTGATTCCTTCTCTACCCTCCAGCTTTAACTGAGACTCAGACCAGCTCAGATTGGCCATCATCCGAAGCCACACCTACCCTCACTAACTCTTCCTGAGGGCCTCACCAACTACCCTCCTGCTTCCATCTGGGAGCCCCAAGTGGGGCTGGGAAGGGGGGCCATAGCCCATCAAGCTCCTGCCCTGGCTGGGCCCCTACACTAAAGGGCAGAGGTAAATGAGTCCCTGTCCCCACCTCTGGTCCTTCCCTCACCAGCTGCACCCCTGTGGTGGGCTTTTTAAGAGGATTTTAACTGGTTGTGGGGAGGGAAGAGAAGGAAGGACAGGGGGTTGGGGGCATGAGGACCTCCTACCCCCTTGGCCCCCTCCCCTCCCCCAGGCTCCCACCTCCTCTCACCCCCATTCCCTCCCTCTTTTGTAAATAGAACCAGTCCAGCCCCTATCTCCTCTTCCCTTCTCTGGCCCCCGGGTGTAAATAGATTGTTATAATTTTTTTCTTAAAGAAAACGTCGATTCACACCGTCCAACCTGGCCCCTCCCTCTCCGACAGCTGTATCTCCCCCTCTGTCCTCTGCCCCCAGGTCTCCTCCCTCCTCTCCCCACCCTGGGGGGCCAGGGGAGTAGGGAGAGGTCCTGATGTCTTAGTTTCCACAGTAAGGTTTGCCTGTGTACAGACCTCCATTCAATAAATTATTGGCATGAAAACCTGCTTCCTGTCTGGCTGCCTCTTTCCACTGAGGTGAGGGCACTGGGGGGCTCTTCTGGGACAGGAATGTGCTGCATCTCAGGCAGAGAAATGTTGGGAGGCGATTAGCCCATCTTGGCTCAGGTGTCCATCCTTCTCATGCCTTAGTTTTCTCTGCCCAAGGTGATGAGTTCTATCTGGCTCACCCACTGCAGAGGCCTAACGAAGCCTGCCCCAGGACCCAGTATCAATCCTGCTTAATTCCCAGTGATTAGTGAGAAATGGGTATCAGAACAGTCAAGGCCACAGAGCTTAAGTGGTAGAGTCAAGACTTGAGCAAAGGGCTGTCTCAGCACAGGCTGCCTACCCCCTTCAGGGTCCTGAGGGACACTGAACGGTGAGGGCTCACTCAGGCCAGAACAGTCTGCTTGTAGACTCCTTAACGGAGTACACATCGCTGAGGGCAGAAGTCTAGCAGATCCCCAAGCCTTCACTTCTCTGCCTCAAATAGGGCACCGGCCTGGTCCATCTTTTAGCAATACTGGTGGAACTGACAGTCCTAGGAAGCTTGGGGGCAGACAGCCTGGCCTTTTCCCTCAAAACTAGAGGGCCAGCAATGGCACAGCAGTGATGTGCTGCTCAGGAGAAGCTGGATCCCATAGGGTAGTAGTGGTTCAAATCCCTAGCCAAGACAACACTGAGTGCCCAAGATCAATGTACTAGAGGGCTAGAGGCAAGGGTTACTATGTGACCAGACCTCGTGAAGGGTATTCGTTGTTTCCACTCTCATGTACTTTGTCATGAATAAGGAAAAATAAAAAAATAAAAACAGGAGGGGCAGATATGGGGTCTATGGGCAGAAGAAAGTAGTATCTCCTCCATATGGTGCCAAGCAGTAGATGTGGCCAGGTTTCCTGAAGGGGAAAAGAGCCCAGGGAGGAGAAACTGCAGTGTTCTCTGCTGAATTTCACTTGTGAAGCAAAAGGAAGAAAAGTTCTGAACATGACCCAGAGGGAGTGCAGGAACTGTTTCTCTAGGATATGGGCTGTCCAGTCTCCTTATACCAGCCCCAGGGACATCTTTAATACCCAGGACAGACCTCCTCCCTCCCTCATTCAACACAATGGGGATTCCACTTTGCAAAATCAGTGCGTACAGCAAGCGGGCCAGATGGCTGGTTTGGGCAAGGCTTAGACGTGGGGCTCCCACCCTGTTTCTCACATCTGGCCCACCATGAGGTCACATGGGTGTCCACTTTTCTCCTACTGTCCCTGCCCAGCTGACACTGCTCTCCCCTCCAGTCACCTACTCATCCAACTCTGACCCCAGGGAAACCTAACATCATCCTGCTATGACCTCCCCATACCCACCACCTCCCCTGCACTGCCTTGAACTACTCAGCTCAGCTTTCAAGACCTTCCAAGGTCTAGGCCTTCTAGACCACCCCCAGCCCCAGCTGTATTCTGCCTCACCTTCCCAAGCACTCTGTGCTATAGGCCTGGGAAGAGCCAACCCTGTTTGACTTGTTAAGTCATCGCCATCTCCTGAGGGAGGGAAGGACTGTTAGCCCAAGTAACCTGTGAGGAAATTGGGGATCCTTTCCTGCTCCTGAGACCTTTGGTCTTTCAACATTCACTCAAACCTCAACTTTGTGATACCAGCTTACATTTCCTCCAGCTGGAATGAATCCTCACTCCCCACCTCTGCATGGGTTTCAGGGCTCATTCAGAACATGGGCTCAAGAAACTGCTGTGTTCAGCTGTGGGACCTTGGGCAAGTCTTGATCCTTGTTTTTTACCATCTGTACAACAGGGATAATATTGAGATCTATTTCACAGGATTGATGAGATCATAGTACATGTACAGTGTTAAGTGCAGTGCCTGCCATGGCTAGACAGTCAAATGTTCACTGTTATTGTAGCTGTGAATAACTGGATGGTCTCCAAATACACCACGAACTCACCCTCCTCCTGCAGTGCTGTCTGCCTGGAATGTTCTCTTCCTCTTCCACTAGCAGATTCCTACTTTTTCTTCAGGGACTACCTCATCTAGGAAGTCCCTGACTCCTGATCTCCCATCACGGGAGTTTGTTCCTTGCAAATCCCCATCAGTCCTGAGACTTCTCAGGCCTGACTTGCCTTTGGTCCCCAGCATCATCCAGCCTGGAGGAGGGGTGCCTTACGGTACATAGGCTCAATGAACCAGAGACACACACTTGAGAACAAGCCATTGGTACTTGTGCGTGTTCTGCCTATCACACTGTGTGTGCCTCTGGAGGGCAGGCCTGTGTCAGACTCTTCCCTGGGTCATTCAGTCTGGAGCTGAGTATCTGGGGACCTACAGATTTCTTTCACATCATCGAAGTTGAGATGAAGGAAACCCAGATAAGTCAAGTGCCTTCCTACACCAGGCAGAGCCAAGTTGTGGGTGCCCAAACTCCAGGAAAGGCTAGGGCTAGGGGGACAAGCAGAGGACCTGAAGAGGTATATGAGAGTGCTCAGCACAGCCCGGCACACAGTCAGTGCTCAGTGAAGATTACCTGATGTTGCACCAGGGTGCTGCAGTGCAAAGAGTCTTGCCAAACTGCTCTGCAACACAGCAGGGTGACCTGGGACAGATCACATAGCATCTCAAGGCTTCAATTTCCCCTCAGGCAGAGAAAGGTGACAACAGAAACCTGGCAGGGCTGTTCTAAGTCTTTGGGAGAAAAGAGGCCAGGGTGGGTCCTGGCACATGGTGGGTGCCAGACTAGCTTGTCCAAAGAATGGTCCTGTTTCTCCCCAGAGGTACCCATGCTTGCTGTTGCAACCAAACCCTTTTATTGTTGCTCTTCAGGTGTGTCACACGAAGGCTGTGTCCAACTGCAACAGCCCACTTGCTTCACTGGCCCCAAGAGCAGCCTGGCAGAGCTGCAGTGTGTCCTCAAGTGCCAGTGGCTGGGATGTCTCTATGATGGCGATGGTCTCCCCAAGCTCTGTGCACATGATAGTCTGCTGAGGTTCAGGGGGCGGGGGTGGGGGAGGAGAAGGTGATCTGGGAGGCTGCAGTGTCATAGTCCGGGCTCGGGCATGGACTCGCTGATGCAGTCGCAGGCCCGCCATGGCACGGAACCAGCGGCCACAGGTCCCACAGTAATAGGGGCTCTTGTTGTAGAGACCGGTGATGGGGAGGCGGGGAGCTCGGGCGAAGGCGACTGGCCGCAGATGCAGCCGCCGGGGCTGCTGCCGGGTGGAGCTCTGTGGGGA